CTGACGAACACGTTCCACGGTGCAGACAAAATAAGCTTTCGAAAGATGCTCGACAGAAGCAGCGCCATTGGCACGGTTCAAATGGCGTAGCTTATTTCGAGCCGCAGCTGTGGCGTAGACGCGCCCAACCGGACCAGGAAGGTCGGCCTACGGTCCGCGAAATGCAGTCCTGCCGCGTAAGCCGATCCCACGGCTACTTCAGCCAATGGGATTGCTGTGCAAAAACACGTAGTGTGAACATTTATTTGCACAAACCCCCCTTTTTTCACAAGATTCTTATGGCCCCCAAAAAGAGGTATCCTGATCTTGCAGAAAAGGAGGTTTTGTGCAAAAAGAAAACTTCCATACTGCTTGTTTTTGCACAACAACCCCAGCGTGAAATCAGTTTGTCAGAAAATATGCAAATAAGATCATGACTCATGCAAATGAGACCCTAATTAGCACCTTTTTTGCTAAGAAAATTTGTAGTGTAGACATAGCCGGAGATTCTGGTGCTGATCATGCAATAGAAGCACATTATGTTTAAACAGCTGCCGTATGAATGTCCCTGAAAGTCACAAGGATCAATGATCTGTGTGAAAGGCAGGTGGCCAGTAATTAGAGCCCCATGTATGTTGTGTGCACAAGGGAAATGTACCAGGTGCACCGGGCAGTCTGATAATGGTGTTTACTGTATGTCTGTAACAGGCTCCTGCCCATATCCGGTATGATCAGCTGTTTGTCGGCTCAGTGCGGTAGTCCGGACGCACGGGTGTCGACATCAAAGGTATTTGTCGACCACCCAGGTATACCTCATCCCAGGAGGGATACCTGGGTGGTCGACAAATACCTTTGATATCGACACCCGCGCGTCTAGACTATTGCGCTGAGCCGACAAACAGCTGGTCATACCGGATATGGGCAGGAGCCTGTTACAAACAGCTCAGCACGGCAGCCATGTAAATTTAAATGAAGCAGCGATTATTTAAATCGCCGCTTCATTTTCCTATGTCTGGTAGCCTAATCTACATGCCTCTGGAGACAGAGGCATGTAGTCTAGGCGTACCCTTGGATTTGAAGTAACAAGTAACACTCATATAATTTGTAGCTACTCTCCCTGCTGTTTGCACTGTTAGGAGTTGAGAAGGGGACAAGAGGCTTTTGTAGCCCACACACCCCTGGGCCTGTCTCCATCACTTCCGCCTCTGCCAGGTGAAGGGAGGCCGCTGGGCCCAGCATCTTTATCCCCAACCAGGGCTGGCTTTTGGGGAGAGCAAGTGGAGAGAGGGAGGGGCCACTGGAGCTGCTTGGTCCCCTGGCAGTGTCCATGGGGAGGTGGCTCTGCTCAAAGCCAGACTGGTTTTCCTATTGTTAGGCAGGACCCTGCAATCCATGTTCTCTCCTGCTTTTGTAGCCTCTGTTGCCTTCTGCAGGTGTCCCTTCTGACAGGACAGGCCACGTTCTTCTCAGGGTTTGGGTACCATGTTGCCCTAGAAAGGCTTGTGGCCAAAACACAGGCGTCGCTGTGATCGAGTTTTGAACCTGCGCAGGGAAACCCTATTAGATCTTAAGTCCAACACCTTAACCACTCAGCCATGACAGCTCTAAGTAACAGCAAGCCCGGGAAACTGGTAAATAATCTCAGTGCCCAGGCCTGACGTCACCTGACCCACAGAATTCACACGGCAAACCATTTCAGCAGTCATGCAGAGGGGTCCTGGGCGCTCTGGTCTGAGGCTGGTTTAGAGGGTTTGTATCCCATCCTCATCGGATGTTTGCAGCCCTTCCTCTTGCTTCTCCCAGATCTCTCTTCAGTTCAGTGCCAGCCCCTCCTGTAACCCTGCCTGCCCCAGCCCCTCCCACTGCAGCCTGGGGAAAGGGGAAATCTCCACAGAGACACTCCCAGCTGGGACCCTCAGGTCCTCCATCAGGGCTAGGTCCACGGACCCGAAATGGCAGGACTTGGCAGTCCAGGTAACACCCTCTCCCCTGAGCCTCCTTCCCCCCGGCAGGTTTACAGCCTCCCTCCTCCGCAGTTAAAGAAATGCTTTTATATTTAAAACAAAGTTTACTTTTGAAACTATCACAGTGATTTTGTTATTTACATTGCTTGCTATGTAATACACAGTTTATTTTTCAACCCCCCCCTCCAAGCAACCTGGTATGTGTCTTTAATGACTGGGGCAGGGACGGGTTGTGGGGGGAAAGATATTGGGGGGCTAGGGCCAAGCCCCCATTGGGAGGGCCCTGGGGACATTCATTGGGTTCCTTTTGAGAATCTCTCCCTCAGGGCCTCCAGGATGCGCATTCTGGCCTGGTGGATGGCAGCTGTCCAGGGCTGCTTGAGCTGCCTCCGCTCGGCATCAGCTCATGTCCCACTCCCTCCCTCCCCCACACTACAAGGAAGGCCTCCCCTTTCTTCTCCAACAGACTCTGGAGCACGCAACACACAGCCACCACCTCAGGGATGTTGCATTCCTCCATGTCGAGGCGAGTGAGCAGGCACCTAAACCTCCCCTTCAGACGCCTGAAGGTGCATTCTACTTGCAAGTGAGACCGGATCAGGTGCAAGTTAAATTGTTCCCTGCTCATGTCTAGGAGGCCAGTTTAAGGCTTCATGAGCCAGGGCATAAGGGGGTAGGCCGCGTCGGCCATGATACACATCGGCATCTGCACGTCCCTGACCGCAAAGTACCGCTGCAGGAAGAACGTTCCAGACTGCAGCCTGTGGTACAGTTAGGAGTTACAAAGATGCAGGTATCATGTGCCCAGCCCAAGCACCCAACACAAATGTCTGTAAACTGTCCCTGGTGGTTGGCCAGGGCCTGAAGCACCATGGAGAAGTAGCCCTTTCTGTTTATGTACTGCACTGTTTGATGGGCTGGTGCGCAGATCGGGATGTGAGTCCCATTGAGCGCTCCTCCACAGTTCAGGAATTCCAGCCCTGCTAACTCGGCCGTGATGGTGTTCAGGTGTCTGAGGTGGACAATCCTATGCAGCAGCTCTGAGTTGATGGCCCTCACCACCTGCAGAAAGAGACAAATAGAAAGACACAAAACAAGAAATTAGAGGGGGTGCCTGAGCCCTGACAGATACTCCTCTATCCCTCCCCTCCAAGACTCCAGGAGCCTCACATACACACACACCAGGGCAGGGTGAGGTGTGGAGGGCTCCTCCCACTCCCACCCATCCCCCACTCCCTCTGCCCTTTCCTGACAGTCCCCCTTTTCCAGCTCTCCCACCCCACAGAGACTGTCCCCCAAGAGTGAGTTAGCTCCATCAAGATGGCCCCAACAGTAGACCTTCCCACACCAAACTGGTGTCCCACTGAGCAGTAGCCGTTGAGGGGTGGCCAGCTTCCACAGGGCAATAGCGACCCGCTTCTCCAGGGGAGTGATGGGCCGCAAGTGAGTGTCCTAGTGTTGTAGGGCAAGGGCAAGCCAGGCACACAGATCCTGGAATGTGGCCTTCTGCATACAGAAGTTTTGAATCCAATGTTGGTCGTCCCACCACTCCATGATGAGATGGTCCCACCAGTCAGAATTAGTGTCCAGCCTCCAAAAGAGCTTCTCCACAAGGAAGTTTGGTAGGAAGGCCATTGGTGCTGCACCCTGGGCGAGGGTCTCAAGGCTGGGTTCTGAGACCAGATGGGGCAGGAGCATCATGACAGTGTCATGGAGATGCAGCAGAATTTGAAGCGTGGGAGTGTGGGGCCATCACCTGCCCAGGGACAGCTCCAGCTCCATGGCAAAAAAAAAAGTTTCAAAACCAAAAAAACCCAAACTGCTGTGATGTTCAAGAAAGCAGGGCAATCAGAGCACACACTGCAGAAGCTTTGCTGTCCCTCAGAGGTATACAAGCCAGCTGCAGCAGCAGAGAAACAGCTGTCCCCGGGGGTCCCTTTAAGCACGTGTCTTTGCAAAGGCCATGCAGCAGAACCCGGAATTAAACGCTGCCTCCATGAGCTGCCAAAGTGGTTTTGGGTGCCCTTTTTTCAATCCACTTTATGTAGTTTGGATGCTGTCTTTCAAAAGAAGCTTTCTCGAAAGATCGTTTCAAAAAAGTCTCTTTCAAAGGACGCATGTAGTCTAGATATATCCTAAGAGCAGTATTCTTCAAAGGAATGAAAACATGCGTATTAAGGGAAATATGCACATGGACTCAGGCTGAAAGTCGTGTTTCATACGCAATAGAATCGAATAACATTTATTCAAAAGTTATTTGTACTGAAGTGACAAGACTCATGTTTAAATATGAATCTTCATGGCGCACGCCCAACAAGCGCCCATGACCTCAGTGTTGGTGCACAAGGCCAAACTCCCTCCACTCAGGGATGGAAAATCTTAGAGAAACACTGGTTCCGAGTGTTGCTGGCTGCTCCACAGTCACAGGGGAAGGTGACTTTGGCTCCTGCAGCCAGCACTCCGTCTGGAGACCCCAATGAGATCTGAGAACACAGACTGGTACAAATCACCCCCCTGCTGCTGTGCAGCTTCCAGCTTATCTCCACCCACGCACACCCTGCCACGCCCAACTCTGCCTGTCCCCAGCCCAGCTGTTACTTCTGCCCCTGCCCAGCCAGGACCTGGGCTTGTCCCCACCCTGGCTGTTAGTTCTGCCCCTGCCCAGCCCCAGACTCTGCCTCTTTGCTCCTCCTGCAGCCCCAGGGGTTCTTCCCCCTCCCATCCCTGGGGCTGCAGGGAGGGAGGAGGAGCTTTCAGCATCATAGAGATGAGGACCCAGGGGCTGGGTACAGGGGAGTCCTGTGAGGTCACATAGATTGGGGGGTGGATGAGGCCAGAGACGCTGATTTCAGGGGCACAGGCTGAGCGAGGATCCCTGCCCCACCCAGAGCCAGGGTCGGATTCTCTCCCCAGGAAGGGAGCCTGGTGGGAAAGTGAAGATCGGGGCCTTGGCACCAGCATCGATAAACGTCACCTGCCCCCGGTCACAGTCCAGACAAACCCGGATCCTGTGGGGGAGGCTCAGGTGCAGGGGAGTTACAGGGGAGGTGAGAGCCTGGAACTGACCCCTTCCCCTCTGCTGCACAGCCCAGATCGCCCCCTCAGGGCTACGGCTGATCCCTCCCTTCCTGCTCACAGACTCTCTGGCCACCCCCACGGACCATTGCCCACCCCCCACCTCCACCTCCCAGCAATGTTTCCCCGCAGTGAATCCCTCACAGCCCAGCACACAGGGCCGAGTGTCAAATCTCTCCGGGTTGTCGGGCAGTGGCTGCCGTGCATGTTCCCATCTCACACGTTTCCGATCCTTAGACAGGACGAGGTCGGGATGAGCCGTGTCTGGATCCAGAGTCACAATCGCTGGGGAGAGAGAATCATGGCGTGAGGGGCAGAGCTCAGCCCTGGGGGCGGCTGGGGCCATTTCTCACCCTCCCAGCAGCCCTGTTGTGGCTGGGACAGACCTGGGCCTCAGGGAGCTGTATCTGACCTGGGTCCCCAGGCTATGTCTAGACTATGGAGTTTTTCTATCCTGGAAAATCTCCACTGCATCCAGGAAACAGGTCTGCTCTTCTGATGCTTTT